GCAGTTTGTAAAAACCTGTTCATTACATACAACCCACCAACAATTCAAACATTTTGTTTATATTCTAGTTGGTCTCAGAAGGAAGGCTGAATGAAAAGTCATAAAAAGATCAAATAGGGTAAGGCATATTAATAATTCTCAGGAAGTACAGAATATGAATCCATAGATTAAACTGAAAGATTAAATCACCGTAAGATCTGACCCTTATAACAATCTTTATTTCCATTAAGCTACCACTCTCCCTCTTATACATTTGATCATAGCTACCCACTGTTCCTTGTATTTACAAGGAAACACAAAAATCATTCAGTTTCAGAGTCTATCCCTTGCATTCTAAACACCTTCTATCCCATCCTTTCCATTTCCTTTGCTCCCCCACCTCACACACACATAACTTGTCAGCACTTACATACCACATATAGTAGCTATCAGTTTTCGTTTATTCTGTTACCTATGCCTCACTCACAAGAGTCTAAGATCCATTTGGCTCAGTTATGCTTTGTTCACTGCTAATCTTCAGCACTTAAATAGAATAAAAAAACATTAGCCTATAATTTACTATCAGATGCATTAAGTCCAAAGAGGAAAAAAGTTTTATTTAATGGTACTACTATCAGATATCATATTCTGGAAAATGTTAGTTCCATAAATATGAGCATTCCAAATATTATATAATGATGAGATGTGTAAACAGTCAAACTCTGGGATGATTTAAAGTTTCTACCACTTCCTAAAGGTACTCTTAGTTGAGTAATAGATATTTCATGCTGTAACAGAATAACCCATGTTAAGCAGATAAATTATAAACAAAACTATAAAATAAAGATACATACAATGTTAATAAGTTAATCAAATTGATGAATAATTAGTGTAAGAATGTCTTAAAATTTTTTCTCAGAATTTCTCAATCAAAATCTAACCCTATATAGATAACTATAAATAATAAGAATCTTCAGGCAGTTTACATTTCTTCAGAATACAAATGTCTAATACAAAATAAAAAAGTATTCAAAATCCAACAGGACTAAGGCAGACCTATACCATCAACATGCTAATTTAAGTACATTAGTATGAATTCCATGTATAATAATCAAGAAACAAAAATTTATGAATGTTGAATTTAATTTCAATGGAAAAAACACAAAAAAAAAAAACAGCAATTAACTTGTCACCTTGAACAGTAATTTTAATGTAAGTTTAAAACTTATTTTGCTAACATTTTTTTCATTGCACACAGTAAAAACCCCTCAAATTTGTAGGGTATATTTTACAAATAAACTAGGTAAAGAATATAAACTCCTAAATTTCTGGTGGAGAATTATACATTAAAGGAGCTCAAACTATGGGTGATAAAACAAATTGTAACAAATCCCCTGAAAAAGAAAATAAAAATTTTAGTAGCTGGAAAATATTGATAATGGTCTCTAATTTCTTCTCCCAGATATACAAGGAATATGTCTACATACTTACTACAATCACATCTATCGTTAAATTTTAGGACATTAATTTTTCTCCTTTTTTTGTTAATAGTCAAATGAAAATACTTAGAATAAATTTTTTTCCATGAATAGGTAAGTCCACCTGCAAAAGGGAAAAAAATTTGATAAAGAACGTCAACTTCTAATGACTGGATCAAGAAGATGTGGTATATATACACCATGGAATATTACTCAGCATTCAAAAAAGATAAACACATGCAATTTGCAGCAACATGGATGGTGCTGGAAGGGATCATGCTCAGTGAAATAAGCCAGAAAGAAAAAGAAAAATACCGGATGGTCTCACTCATAGCAGGAATCTAGAAAACTTAAATAAGGGACCAGGAAAATGAATAACTATAAGAAAGTGAAAATCAAAATCAACAAACAACTATGAACCAGAGACACTCTATGTGGGGTGGGGCATCGGGAGGGGAGGGATTGGGGTCAAAATAAGGGGGTTGCAATTGTATGGGGAATATAAAAATAAAATTCATAAAAAAAAAAGATAAACTCATGCCATTTGTGGCAAAAAAAAAAAAATGAATGTCAACTTTTAGATAAACACATTAATTGAAAGAGAAATCAGTCTATGGAAGTATACTTGCTAATCCAATTATGGCTACTTGTGTATCAGAAATGATACTGTCTTAAAAAGCCCTATAATTCCTAACAACCAAGTTTTCAATGCTAAATATGGAATTTAGTCAACAGCTAAAATTTCAAGTCTACTACCATTTATCAATTTGTGTGGTCTTAAGTGATCTGTATTTGAATGTAGGACACAAACAGAATCACCACATTATTAAAATATTCCTCTGGCTACCTTCTGGATACTTGCCTGAAGTCCTCTGAGTTAGCTCCACCTCAGTCCATACTCCAAGTAACAGATTTACGATGCTCAATACAGAATTACTTAGCATCAACTTAAAAAGTAACCTGAATGGAAAGATTAGGATTTTTTCCCCAAACTAGATGGAAAAAAACAACTTTTCTTTGCAAAATAGTCAAAATTAAGATAAACATCAAAGGGAAAACTTTCAGTTTACTATTTGCTCAAGTGTTTCAAAGCAGCTCACAAACATGGAAGCGTATCAACTCCTACAAGTAAAACTTCCAGTCCTTGGGTGTTTTCAAAATGTGATTGGTTAGACAGTCATAGGCTATTTCCTCATCTCTAAATAAGAGAAGTTGCATAAGGTTACAATAAATTTCAATTCAACAGTTTTCCCACATTTTTAAAATTATCCAAATATTTTAATTTTTAATTATCCAAATATTTAAAATTTTCATTTAGCCATTCTAACTCCAAATAGTCCTCCTTTACATTTGGTGCAGCTAGTCATAAAGATTCACCTAGTATGCTGTAAAATGCAGGGTTTTTTTCTTTGTCATTTAGAAGGTAGATTAAATAAAAATTTCCAAAATCTGACTCGAAATATTTTTAGGAAAATAAAGGCTAAAAAGAAAATCAACCTCCTGGTTGTTATGGAAAATACTGGACAACCATTTTGTAATTAATTAAATAAATACTGAATGGGCATCTACGTGTTAGATACTGAAAAATTTTTAGTGGAAACAGAAACTATCATTATTTGGTATAATCTTTCAAAAAATGGTTGAAATGAAAAAATAAACAGGTTTAGAGTTTGATGAATGCTATTTAAAAGCACCAAGGCAGTATTATTCTCATGTAAAAGCAGGCATTTATTTCTAGTCATCATATATATACATATGACATACATTGCTTCCTTATTTTAGGAAAAAAATTTGCAGGAAAAAAGTGAGATTGTTCTTAGAAATAAAAAGTTTATCTTAAGTAATATTTTCTTTATCTTAAAATCTGAATTTAAATAAAAGATCCTTGAATACAATTCCTTAAATTACATCTGAATACTTTTAGGGCTTCCAAAATAGACAATTATAATTGGAAATAATTCATTAAAAAACTTTTATTTTGTAGGGCAGTCTACCTAGTTATAATTAAAAAGGGTAATATATTCCTTGAAGGCAATAAAATCAGAAGAATGGTATTACACTACACAAGCACAAACATCTTATCCTAAAAAATCAATTTTTACTTTAATGACTTGAAACACACCAACAAACAAAGAAGAAAAAGAAAACATTTCCTTCAAATATTACATTGAAATTTCTGACTATATTTGCATCTATAAAATTAACAACTGCAATAATTTTTTTGTTCCTATTCTTAAGTAATGGATACAAAAACAACCAAATAAGGCCTTCTTATTTTTGACTGTGTCAAACAGTCTTCGTCTAAGGATTAAAAAAAGACTTTTAAATAAAAACAAGAAAAAACAATATGATAGTATAAAGTTAGAATAAAGAAGGTTAAGGTTCTAAGGTATCATATGCAGCATATTACTTAATTTGAGTACCTTTTTTCTGAGCTATCCAATGATTAGGTTGATTATTTGTAAGGTCTTTCCTACCTTTAAAGTTATGAATTAAATACATTTTGAGACTCAGGATTTTAGGAATTTAATTCACATGTTTTGATGTGTTCCCCATTCCCTTAGAAGTAAATAATTAGAAATGTTACTAAAATTGTCTAAGTTGTTTAAAATGTGTATTTTATAATGTACATTTATCTGTGAACTAAGCAATTTAACAAAAGGAAAACCAATTTTTTAATCTTAAAAATCTCATTTATATTGAATACAGATGTGCATTAAAATAATTTGATGGTATATAAACTTTTCCAATAAACTCTTGATGACAGTTAACAGTTATTAAATAGCAATTAAACTATTTTAACATACAAAATACATACAAATAGTATTCACTTATTTTTTTAATTTTATATTTTTATACTAAACATAAGATTGTCAATGTGGAAATACAGTATCATAAAATTGAAAATACATTAGTAATATAAGTATATGTAAAATACAACTGTAGAATATAGTCAACCTTACTTCAGCAGCACAGTTAATACTGGAGATAATTTTAGAATCTTAACGCCAATATTTACGTGCTGCTAAGGCACTGCTGACATCACTATCAAAATATTCATAATAAAGAGAAATGTATATTCTTCAGAAGATCAGATCCTTGTATTTTTGAGGCAGCACAATATGGCCTGCACCTTTTCAAAATCCACAAACCATTATGTGCTGCTACTTTACTCCAAGGTTTTGTTTTGTTAAACACACATTAGCACCTAAGGACACAAAATGTTTTTTCTAAAAGATAAAATACATTAAAGTCCCATGATTAAAGATTTTAACACTAATACAATTTGCATTATTAGTTATTTTTTAGAAGCTTTTAAGTTATTTATTAAAATTTATTCCTACATAAAAAAATTAAGGAAAGCCTACTACAAACCAAAGACATTGCTATGTATTAGGAACACCTAAGATATATGAGGAAAAGAAAAGCATTTTTCTATCAGTTTTAAGTCAACATAATTACTTAATCAAGCTTCTGACTATATTAAATATATGAAGTTATTTTTATTTTACAAACAAAAATTGAATAAAATTTGTTTTTTACCTTGATGAAAGCATAATTTACAAACAGAATTTCATTCCTTGCCATACATTTTTCAAAAGACATCTTCATCAAAATGTTAAGACTTCATGCCAAGGGAAAAAGAAGAAATTACATTCAAGAGCTCAGTTTCAGTAAATTCAAGCTAACAAAATGCAATTATAAAAGACTAGAAGTCACATGGAATATTTTAATACTCAAGTAAAATTATACAAAATAAACCAATTTTGTTAATTTGTTTAAATAGCCAAATGTTATTTTATCCTCAACATTTATCTCCATACTATAATGTTATTGTTTTAGACTTGGACATCACCTTATTAAAGAAGCAATTCTAGAATATGGAGACTTAGATGAGTTAAACTTTGCATTCAGAAATGAGAAATAAAACAGGATCCCCTTTTGCTTCTGATCCTCCTGTCCCTTACCTGTTTAAACTCTTCACCAGGCAAGGAAGTATATTTCTATACAATTTCCACTTAGTCAGATATAGTAATGAAAATTCTTCTATCTCTAAGATACCAGAAAACTGCTGCCACTCTAACTCTTGCAACTTCTGTGCCTCAGCTGTCTCATCAGTAAAATGACTATGCTAAAACTACACTATTTCTGTTTTAGAATAAGGTAATATGTACTGAAACTTGCCCCTCCCTTTATATCTAATTATTTATACCAAGCACAACTATCATACTTCACATTAATACTTTGTAAATATTTTCCCATTAAAAATATATCTAGTTAGGGTCTCCCTAGTGGCGCAGCTGTTGAGCGCTGGGTTGTGAAGCTGCCCGCAGCCTCTGCAGCGCAGGTTCAATCCCCGGCCACCGGGTGAGGGTCCCACATGGTGCACAGACCTCTCCTGCTGCCCGCTGCTCCCCTCAGCAGTGTACTTCGTCCATCTGCCTGATCTGCTCCCTGCTCTGGCTCTGGTGAATTCTCTCACCCTCCCGCGCTTCTGACTGTACCCAATGCTTGTATAAATAAATTAAAATAAATAAATAAATATATATATATATCTAGTTATTTCATCTGAGAAACCTGTATTTTATATATTACTCATTATTGTCTAAAGTTTCTACACAATTTAAAATATGTAACCAAAATGAATCTATTTGCAACACCAAGACACATAACATATGCATTAGCATTGTCCCTTGCATCCACTTTCCAGAGAAAATTATAAACATGACATTTTCAAATATATTATATGTTTTCATTTAATAAGTATTTTATTGAACACCTATCATGTGCCAGGCCAATGCCAAGATGGTACACTACTGTACCAACAGTCCTCTCAGAAGAACTTAAAATCATTTAAACTATAAGACAAATTTATCAATTGTTCAAATCCACATATTGTTTGTTGCACTAACAGATACATATAAATGATTATACCAAAATCAAATGAACAATACGTCAAAATTCCAATCCTTTTTATTTGCTAAGTTACATATTCTTTAAACGAAACTGAGTATGATGAACTTAAAAAAAATTTACTATGAAACAAATTTTACAAACCTTTACCATAATGAAAATGCCATTCATTATTTTAAAAAATTATCAAAAACATATAGCAAGAATTTTACCACTTAAAATCGTCATTCTATGCTATTAAGTATACTCATATTGTGCAACCATCACCACCCTTAATCTTTACAACTTTTTATCTGTAACAACTGAAACTGTACCCATTAAACACTAACTTCTCTTTACATCCCCAGAAACCACTATTTTACTTTCTCTCCTCATGAATTTGCCTATACTAGTATCTAATATAAATGGAACCATACAGTATTTGTTCTTTTGTAGCTGACATTTCACTTAGCATAACTTTTTCAAGGTACATTCATGTTGTGCTTTATATCTATCTATCTATCTATCTATCTATCTATCTATCTATCTATCTATCTATCTATCTATCTATCTACCTACCTACCTATCTATCTCAGACTTTCTTCCTTTTTAGTCTGGACAGTATTCAGTGATATGTATATACATACATTTCTTTTAGCCATTTACTGTCTAGGGATATTTGGATTGTTTCCATCTTTTGGTTATTATAATTAGTGCTGCTATAAACATGGCATACAGATATCTGAGTTCTGGGATATTTATTTTGGGAATATGCCTAATGTATCACTGGATCCCGTAACACTTTAAATGTTTGAGGAACTGCAAAACTCTCTTCCACAGTGGCTGTAACCAATTTACATGTCTATCAACAATATAAGAGATCTGGGCCACCCCGGTGGCGCAGCAGGTTGAGCACAGCACTGTGAAGCTGTCCGCAGCCTCTGCAGTGCCGGTTCGATTCCCACCGGCCAGGGAGAGCCCCACATGGCACAGGAGATCTCTCGTCGCACTCGCTGCTCCCCTCAGCAGTGCTTTCGGTCCGTCTGCCTGTTCTGCTCCCCACTGTCTCTGGTGAATCCTCTCACCTTCCCACGCCTCTGGCCTGTACCCCAGCTATTGTATACATTAAAAAAGGAGTTCTAATTTCTTCATATACCTGCCAACACATTTCTTGAACTTAAAAAAAAGTAATTTCCATTCTAATGGGTATGAAGTAGTGTTGACTTATTACTTCCCTAATGAGTTGGGACTCTGAGCAGCTCTCCTTATGCCTGTTGGGTACTTTGGAGAAATGTTTAAGTATTTTGCTCATTTTAAAACTGGGCTGTTTTTTGAGTTATAGGAGTCCTTTATATATGTGTGCTATTAATCCCTTAGCAGATACATAATGTGTAAATATTTTCTCCCATACTGTAAGTCACCTTTTCACTCTGTAGAAATGTACCTTGATACATAAAAGTTCTAAATTTTGATGAAATTCAATTTGTCTTTTTTGTTTTTGCTTTCTGTGCTTTTGTTGTCTATCCAAGAAATCACTGAAAAGTTTAATGTCATGAAGCTTTCCCTCTAGGCTTTCTTCCGAGAATTTTACAGTTTTATGTGCTTATGTTTAGGTCCTTCATCCATTTAAATTTTCATATATAGCTTAAGTGTCCAACTTCATTCTCTTTTATGTGGATATCTGGTTTTCCTAACATTTCTTGAAAAGACTCAAATTCTTTCAATAAGAACAACCTTTCAAGGTCTTCACATTTGTTGAAAATCATTTGACTATGTAAGCAAGAGTTTATTTCTATTCTATTGGTCTTTGTCTTTACAATACACATAGATTACCATGGTTTTTGTAGTAAGTTTTGAAATTGGGGTGTGTGAGGTCTCAAACTTTGTTTTTTACCATGACTGTTTTTGATCTTTGGTATCCCTTGAAATTCCCCATGAATTTTAGGATGGGCTTTTCTGTAAAATACGTCATTGGAATTTTGATAGCGGTTGCTTTCATCTGTAGATCACTTTAGGTGTAGCACTGCCATCTTAACAATATTAAGACTTCCAGTCTATGAACATGGAATGTCTTTCCATACTGCTGTCTTTTAACAGTCTTATAATTTGCAGTGTACAAGCTTCTTGCAATCTTGGTTAATCTTATTCCTAAGCATTTTTTTTGGTATTACTGTAAATAGAATTGTTTTCTCAATTTCCTATGTGTAGAAATGCAACTGATTTTTGAGAGTTGATTTTGCGCCCTGCAACTCTGCTTAATTTACTTATTTGTTTAACATTTAAAAAAAAGAAATCAGAGGTTATCTACAGATAAGATGTCATCTGTCAACAGAAATAATTTCACTTTATATATCTTTTGTATCTAAAATTGGTTCAAAAGCTGTTTGTCAACTTTGATGAACTCATTTTTGTAGAAAATCTCCTCTCCCTTCAAACTTACAATATCTTTCCTTTCATTCTCACATCTATTTCAGAAAATAGAAGTTAGAAAATTCTCTCTTTCAGAAGAGAATTTCCCCTATTTCTACCACAAATACCTACCTAACATGTATCTCTGTATTACGGATGGAAAAATCACTGTTTCCTCTTCTGTTGTATACTGGGATTCTATCCTCTCTTTCTTAAGGATACTCCTCTAGCATTCTCCCCTGCACTTTTAATTCACTTACCTGTTAGATTATTACCAGTAAATCTGCGATCATTTTTCTTACCTTTAATTTCATCTCTTAAGGGATTATTACTTGTGATAATAGTGCAACTTTATCATTAATATATATTTTTTTTGGTGGGACCCTCGCCGGCGGCCAGGGAACGAACTGGCGCTGCAGAAGCTGCGGGCAGCCTCGCAGCCCAGTGCTCAACCACTGCGCCATCAGGGGAGGCCCTATCATTAATATTTTTATTGTGTTTTTTTTTTAAAGATACTTATACATACAAGAGCTGGGGTACATACCAGAGGTGTGGGGAGGTGAGAGGACTCACCAGAGACAGAGTGGGGAACAGAATAGGCAGATTTACCAAAGTACACTGCTGAGGGGAGCAGAGGGCGAGGCAGGAGAGGTCTGTGCGCCATGTGGGACCCTCGCTGGCGGCCCGGGGAACAAACCAGTGCTGCAGAGGCTGCAGGTAGCCTCTGCACCACCAGGGGAGGCCCGATTTATTTATTTATGCATACAAGAGCTGGGGTATAGGCCAGAGATGCAGGGGGTGAGAGTACTCACCAGAGAAAGAGTGGGGAACAGCACAGGCAGACTGACTGAAATACATTGCTGAAGGGAGCAGCAGGTGAGTCTGGAGAGGTCTGCTGCACCATGTGTGTTGCTCCCTGGCCGCCCGGGGATGGAACTTGTATTGCAGAGGCTGTGGATTGCTTCATAGTGCATTGCTTAACCCCTTGTGCCACCAGGGAGGCCCTCACTAATATTTTTAAGACACCCTCAGAGATTTTTTTGGCTTTATTTCTAAATATGTGAGATAATCAAAATAACTATGTTCTCTTTGAAAGCCTGACAAATTTAAACTTAGAGAAAATTTATTTTTGTATTTCAGAAAAATATGGAAAAATTTAAATTAATTCAAATTATTAGAACTGAAAAGATTCCAGTGGAACAATTACAATTAGATAAAGAAGGTGTATCTTTCTCTTTGTGTTCAACAGCAACAAATAAACTCTTCTTTAAATTTCTTTGAATCTATATTGTCTGCACTGTCACATGACAGGGATAGTCAGTTGCTAATACATGGCATAAAAATGTCTGTTCCTTTGTTTATATATATCCTTTACATGTTACTACATTACTTCTGATATTTCAAACACTTAATTTTACTTTTAATCTGGATCAACATAATACATAATACTTTCTTCAGGTATCCTTCAAATCTATACATAAATCATTAAGTGGCTAGTTTTATACAGCCCCTGGGCCACAGAATTGAGTATCCTTGCTCAGGACAGTGGAATACTACAGAAGTGTTATGACATGTTGATATTACACCTGGAGGAAATTTCTAATTAGGTACTCTTTAATCTTTAAGCAATGGTCTAAATTATGGGATCTAATTAAACTGCATAAATTTCACTAAACACAGTAAATACAGACAACCGATATATTTGCTTTTCTTTTACATATGCCTAAACTTAAGACTATATTCACTAGTAAGATACACTTAAAATTCAGTATTGAGAACATGTATGCCATGAAATATTCTCATGTAATCCAAAACTCTTGTTTTATAATCCAAAAAACCTAGTTTTTCACTTTAAGTGAATATAAAGTTATACTGTTTTTAGACTACCTTTATTTGTTCAGATGGAGAAAGAATTACCTAAGAAATTGTGTGTGAAGTGAGTTTCAATCAAGAGTTTATACCAGAAAAGTCAGGATATATACCTAAGCCTCCTAAATATGTTATCCATCAAAAACAAAGGAAAATTGGAGATAAAGGCAAGAAGGTCAGATGGAAGAAGACAGACTAAGAAACCAAGTCACTTAAATCTGGGCAGATTTCAGTGACTTTTTTAACCATTAAAAATGTGAAAGTAACATTCTGGGACTTTTGAAGTTAGTGTCCCTTGGTGTCAAGTCAACCCATGGAAACATGAGTAATAATTTCTTTTTTTTTTTTTTTTTTTTATAGAGGCATGTTTTTATTTATTTATTTATTATATTTGTTTGTTTTGTTTATACATGCACTGGGTACAGTCAGAAGCGCGGGAGGGTGAGAGAATTCACCAGAGCCAGAGCGGGGAGCAGAGCAGGCAGAAGGGCCGAAGCACACTGCTGAGGGGAGCAGCGGGTGGCAGGAGAGGTCTGCGCACCATGTGGGATCCTCCTCCAGTGGCCGGGGAGCAGCCGGGGATCGAACCGGCGCCGCAGAGGCCGCGGGCAGCTTCACAACCCAGCGCTCAACCGCTGCGCCACCGGGGAGGCCCAATAATTTCTTTTTTAAGCCTTTTACAAAAATTAACTAAAGAGTAACTGGTATTTTACTATATATATAATTTTTACAAAAGTATACAAATTTATACAGTAAAAAATAAAGTATATTATTATTAGATTCCCTAACAATAGTCTCCTTATATACAAAGTTAACCTTAAAAGTAAACATTTATAGGGCCTCCCTGGTGGTGCAAGGGGTTAAGCACCACATTATGAAGCAATCCACAGTCTCTGCAATACGAGTTCGATCCCTGGCCGGCCAGAGAGCAAGCCACATGGCGAAGCAGACCTCTCCTGTCTCGACTGCTGCTCCCCTCAGCAGTGTATTTCAGCCAGTCTGCCTGTTCTATTCCCCACTCTCTCTCTGGTGAATCCTCTTATCCCCTACAATCTCTGTCTGTACCCCAGCTCTTGTATGCATAAATAAATAAATCTTAAAAAAAAAGTAAACATTTATATTTTTTAAATTTTAAATTTTGTATGACTTTTCTTTTTCTTTTATATGAATTACAAATACATAACAGAATACTAGCCAAGAAGTGCAACACAACTGGTTTTTATAAGAACATAAATATGCTGTTTTAACATTTTTTTCTTAAGACACATTGTTTTGAATCCATCTTATGGTTACTTGTCCACTGCTATTCTCTTTACACTCAATTTTCACCCTGTGCCAATCATGCCTTACATTCAGTCAATAAGAACAACCGATTCTTTGAGATCCAAGTTCATCAGTTTCCTTACCATTCCTAATTTTATACCTTAAAGTTAGGTCTAAGAATCTTATACCTACAATTGCATTTCAGCGGGACTTTGTATCTTTTGTCACTTATTAAAACTTAATAGTGGGCCTCTCCTGGTGGTGCAGCGGTTGAGCACTGGGCTGCAAAGCTGCCCACAGCCTCTGCAGCACCGGTTAGATCCCCGGCCACGGCCGAGGGTCCCACATGGCGAGCAGACCTCTCCTGCCACGCCCACTGCTCCCCTCAGCAGTGTATTTCCTCGGTATGTCTGTTCTGTTCCCTGCTCTGGCTCTGGTGAATTCTCTCACCTTCCCGCGCTTGTGACTGTACCCAGTGCTTGTATAAATAAAATAAATAAATCTTTAAAAAAAACCAAAAACAAAAAAACAAAACTTAATAGTCTGTTTCTCTGCCTTAGTATCAAAGTCTATATAATCAAAACCTATCAATATTCCCTACTTCTCTTCCATGAAAACACTTTACCAGTCCAGTTAAAAGATCTTTTAGACAAAACACAACCAAACGCAGTATGTGGACTTTTCTGAAATAATCAGAACTTTAACAGGACACATTATTCTAATAAGGGATTATTATTAGTTAAGTAGGAAGTGGAACATATAAAATTAGTCATCATTTGAATATACTGATTATCCTCTCCCACAGAATGATTCTTTAAGGCTCCTGGACAAAATGAGATGTTTATAATAAATTGTTTTCCAGTTCTTTCCTTCCCTGAACTATATATTCATACCTGATCGCTGAATCTCCACTACAGCTGCTGCGGGAGGTGAAAATATTCATTAATCTCTACTTTAAAGGACAAAGGAAGTCTATTTTCTCAAAGGAGTTATTCTTCAACCTTTATATTTGATTCTGAATTGTCCATTTATTATGACTTTTGAACATAGGCAACTATTTTTGGTGCTGAGAATTGTGCTGAGCAGATAATTAGTTGCACTATTTCATACCTATCCTCCATTCAGTCTGGACTGATTATTAAGATAATGATCCCTGGCATGGGTACATGCCATTTCTTCACTCCTGCATATTAGGAGTGAAAATATCATAACGCTCCATCCCGTGAATCTCTGCTTCCAAGTTTGCTGTCTTAAAAAAAGATACCTTTCCAAACTAATATGGAAAGAGACTTAAATGGCTAGACATAGAACCACAAAAAAACAACTATCAAATAAAATCCAAAACCAGAGCCATCCAGTTCTTTATCTTTATACAGTAATCTAAGTTTCAAATATGGTGTTTCACATTCTGACCTGCGGACTCAATCATTTCTATTGTCTTTTCATATATATCTTCTTATTTTTTATGATCTTCTATGAAACAGTCATTTTGAAAGGCGAGGCAAAATATCTTGCTTAAGAAATTAATTTGAACATGCCTCTGAAGTAAATGGAAATTTTTAAATACCGTATATTAGTTTCCTTTTCATGTTTAAGAATCAAAAAAATACGGTAAAATGATACAAATTTTATATAAATTAATGTTTTCCATCTCACTTTCTTATAATTGATTTGCAACTCTAATTTTGTATCCATTAATATTCCTGTTTAGGTATATTCACTTTCCATCTAATACTGCTTTAATTTCAATTCATCTAATTTATGTAAGGCATTATTACATTTGACAAAAATGTTAAGAAATTCTAGGCATGTCTCCCTAAGATCACCCTGAGTGCAACAGAAATTTAAAGGCAGAATGACAAGGGATGATGAATTTGAAAACGTAAGACCCAAAATGGAATCCTGGCTTTATCCCTTATGACTCCTTATCTTGGCTAGGTTATTTCAGTACACAGTCTTGCTTTCCTCTTCTGTAAAATGGGCTTACTAATGCTTACTATAGCCCTGTTTTTAAGACTGTAAGATCTTAACCTTTTATGGGAACATTTAATAGTGAACAGGTCAGTAAATGCCTACTGAATGTAAATTTATAGTAGGATTTGAAACACTTGTCACAAACCTGGGGTTTCAGTGGACTGAAATTCAAGGTGAACCAGCAGTGTTGATGAAAAAGAGAAGTTAGCGAAATTAGGCTGCATTAACAGAATACCTTATTCATCAGGGATGTACTGCATTTTGTACCTCAAACCATATCCATTCTATATATAATATTTTAAAAGGAATATTAACAAAGTACAACAGATTCAAAGTGTAGTATCGTGGTATTGTTATTATTCATACCATGAGAACCAGTGGAAGAACTTAGGTATGTTCAATATGGTTAGCCTAGAGGGAAAAAAAAACAAAACTATTTTTAGAAGATCTATTTAGGGCTAAAGGATGAAGTTATACACTAAGTTTAAACCTTCTCTCTTGTAAGAATTTTATTTTCTAAGAATTACTGATATAATTTATAACATTAAGGAAAAAGTTTATTGTTATAGTTCTATTTCTAATATTCTCATCCAAGAGAAAATGAGAAGTCAACTAAAAAACTAACATTTAGAAAAATTGTCAATTTTAAATTCTAACTATATGGCAGCAAAAACTAGGGACACAAAGGAACAACTTGAAGAGCCAAATTAAGGAAAACAAAACTGAAAAAAATTTAACAAATTTATTTATAGGATATCACAAAAGTGTGAAACTGACTACCTAGGCAAAAAGTCAGGTGTAATAGTAAACTGGATATATATAAATGAATATTTATAAACACATATATACATATATTTATTTACCAATCCATTTAAAGTCTGTGTTCAATTTATTCCTGTTTTGACATGCAGAAGACCTTGAAAACTCAAATCTCAGACAAATAGGTAATAGCAAAGGGTAAGACTGCAAAGAATATTCTGGGGATGTTACTTCTTGTAGTTATGCTTAAATCTTGAAATCCCTATCATATGAGAGCTCATTATATTTGTATGTTTATTTTCTATTTAAGACCTGTGCTAAAAAATGATTGTTGTCATTTTCCTAGGAAAAAATCCCAAATAACTTTATAAAAATTCTCTATTATTCTTCCTTGAATCATCCATTTCAAACAGAAGTTTTTCAGAAGGTTAAAAAATGAATTTGCCTTTTTTTCTATAATTCTGGCAATAAAATTCAAATTTTATGACTGCAATTTTGTTCAGAGCAGAAACATATCTTTACCTTAAACATAAAAGCTCAAATTTAACTAAATCGTTCTGTTAAACACATATATGTCAAAAATAGACAACTTTGAGGACAGGAACACTCAGCATTTGATTAAACATTGTCTAATTCTGAAAAACAGCAGTTATATGAGCTGTGACTGAAAAGTAGCAGTAGCATACAGTGAACTTTCTCTGTGATAAATTACAGAATATACAGCTTTAAGAGCCTAGATTTGATAAACCCACTAAATTATTAGGAATTGATCACATCAGTAAGTTTGCTAAGCCTTCTTTACCAACAAATGTGAACAATACCTAGCACCCTTATGAATTTTTCAGCTATGGATTATAACACCTTTTTCTGCTAATACAAGTGCCAAAACAGCAATTTGTTTTTCATTCTTTTGGTACTCATCTATGGTCGTTTGCAGACCAATTAAAAGAAGGAGCCCTAGAACATTTGGTTGGAGACGATTATCATCATCAAACCCCCTTTTCCTTGTCTTTAAAACAGGGGTTCAAGTCTCAGCACTATCAAGCTATTGCCAGCCACTGCAACATGAGTTCAATCCTGGCCAGGGAGCTAACCCACATTGCACAATAGATCTCCCCCGTCTTGCCTGCTCAGCAGTGTATTTCAGTAGATCCACCTGTTCTGCTCCCCACTCTGTCTCTGGTGAATCTTAGCATTCTCCACACCTCTGGCCTACATCCCAATTATTCTATGCAAAAATAAATAAAGCTTAAAGAAAAAAAAAAAACTAAAAATAGAATTTTTAGTTATATCTAATGACTCATACATTTTTATTGGGAAAAAAGACTTCATATCATTTGCCACATTGATTATTTATTATCAGTCAGTTCTACGTTAATACTATTTATAATTTAAGATTAATGATATTTTCTAGAAAGCTATGATTATACCATTATTATTCTATTTCTTTTTTTTTAATTACTTTTCTCCATTTCTTTTTTTTTTTTTAAAGATTTATTTATTTATTTATACAAGCACTGGGTACAGTCAGAAGTGCGGGAGGGTGAGAGAATTCACCAGAGCCAGAGAGGGGAACAGAACAGCCAGACTGATGGTACACTGCTGAGGGGAGCAGCAGGTGCAGCAGGAGAGGTCTGTGCGCCATGTGGGACCCTCGCCTGGCAACCAGGGATCGAACCGGTGCTGCAGAGGCTGCGGGCAGCTTTGCAGCCCAGCGCTCAACCACTGAGCCACCAGGGGAGGCCCTATTATTCTATTTCTAACTTGATAACATTTCTAAAAAGTTACCTTAAAAACTGGTCCAATATGAAAATGGTTTTTGTGAATTTTTTTTCACTTGCCCAGCCCTTGATAGCAGGTAAATATGTCTTCTGAATTACAATGTAATTTGTCTCCATCATTTCTGTTTATAGGTCTACTAACTGTCAGCACTGTATGGTGAACTTTCTGCTGTATTTCCTGTTTCCTATTTATAAAGTCAGTGTCTTAAGATTTTTGTTGTTGTAGATTTAAATGATAGGAGAAATGACCTTAACTGTTGACAATTCTATTTAACCCAATAATGTATTTGGTTATTTTAAATTCACGTAACAGAAACACATAATTTAAGTATATCTATCCAAAAATGCAAAAAAAAAAAGTAATCATAGCTCAAAAAAAGTGGACAAAAAGGGGAAATGTAACTATTTCTGAATGTTTTATGTTAAGGAACAGAAATTTAAGAACTTTCAAGTTGCAAAGTATTTCATATCTTTACTCAATTTGTAAAACTAAACCCAAACCACTGCTATTATTTAATTTCAACAGCATCAAATATATGGAACACTAATATGCCACTACTTCTGGAATATCCACATTCTCCAAGTGATCAGCTTTAAAAACCAAACACTATCGTAAAGAGACAATGGCATTAAACAAACATGAAAAAATGCAAGCGGTGGGGGGGGGGGAGGAGGGAGGGAGAACACAAACAACAGAACTAATGACTACTACTATTATGTACTTTTTGGGGTATTATTTAATTGGAAGCATCACCTTTTTAGTATTTAAGATTAAAGGGAATTCCAGGCACACTACCTAGAACAGACAACAGAAAGGTTTCTGACTATAAAATAGCGCAAATGACTTAAGAATACTCAGAGTATCTAAGAAAGGCTCTTTGCTTAGAATTTTACAAAAGAGATGAAATGAATGTGGTTCTAGCTGTACTACTTCATCTGTTAGAAGTTAAATGATAGTTATTTTTGTTTTTAAAAGATTTATTTATTTATACAAGCACTGGGTACAGTCAGAAGCGCGGGAGGGTGAGAGAATTCACCAGAGCCAGAGCAGGGAACAGAACAGGCAGACAGATGAAGTACACTGCTGAGGGGAGCAGCGGGAGGCAGGAGAGGTCGGCATGCCATGTGGGACCCTTGCCCAGAGGCCGGGGATTGAACCAGCACTGCAAAGGCTGCGCGCAGCTTCGCAACCCAGTGCTCAACCGCTGCGCCACCGGGAGGCCCAGTTATTTTTTTTTTTTATATAACCCTTTTTTTCTAAAGATTCATTTATTTATACAAGAACTGGGGTACAGGTCAGAGGCACGGGAGGGTGAATTCACCAGAGATAGCGGGGAGCAGAACAGGCAGATGGACCGAAGACACTGCTGAGGGGAGCAGCGGGCGAGGCAGGAGAGGTCTGCCACACCATGTGGGTTTCTCCCTGGCCGGCTGGTCGGGAATTGAACCTGCCCTGCAGAGGCTGCGGACAGTTCCACAGCGCAGCGCTCAACCCGCTGCACTTTTTGTAAAGTGCCCTCCAGAATTCAGTAGACAGGCAATATCAATTGAAAAAGATTTCTTTTTCTAAGAGTTAAGTTGATGAAAAAACTGAGCTGGCTTCTTCCAAGGGACCAATTAAGAAACCAAGCTTGGATTATATAGGATTCTTTGGGGATTTGCAAATGTTTCCATTCTAGTTTTCCAGAGACAAAAATATAAAGGGAAAAAATTAGAAAAAGAAGGAACCTGTGGCATTTGGTTACCATGCTTTAAACTGTTTCATTAAGTTTTCAAAAAAATTTTTTTTAGATTTTTATTTATGCATACAAGACCTGGGGTGCAGGCCAGAGGTATGGGCTTGAAAGGATTCACCAGAGACATAACAGGGAGCAGAATAGGCATATCTACCAAAATACACTGCTGAAGGGAGCAGCAGGCAAGACAGGAGAGGTCTGCTTTGCCATGTGAGTTAGCTCTCTGGCCAGGGATCAAACTCATGCTAATAGCTTGATAGCGCTGACTTTAACCCCTGTTTCACCAGGGAAGCCCAAAAGTTTTCAATATTTAATTGATTTCCACCATGTTGATTTCAATGTCTTATCTATTATCATGTCAGTCCTTGACACATAAGCATTCCCTACTGAGTCACAATGTAATGGTATGAGATAATATAAGGAAGCATCTGAAGCACTATTCTTCACTTAAACAGGGCCATTCCATAACATCAAAAATGTAAACAGCTGCAACTGCGTTTCTTTTATTTAGAGATGAAGAATTAGGTCTAAGAATACATGGAGAAGAATCTTTCTGGTAACTAACTTTAGAATCTCAAGGAAGTACCTTGTGTACTTATGATGACCTTAATTGGAGAGTCTTTCTAGGGGCATGATATTGCTTTCATCTAACTTGTCAGAATTATTCCCTTAGATTTATAAGTTTCTTAAAAATTAAATGAATCAGGGCAAAATGTTTCTTATTCTGAGAAAAGGGTACCCATGTGTATATATAAAAGGAAGGAAAAGGGATTGCCTTCCTGTTTTTCCCAACCCCCGAAGTTAAACAGCTAAATTTTAAGTACCTCGCAGAAAGAAATCTTAAGTGTAATCTAGTGAAATTTAAAAACAAATAAATGAAAAAAAAAAAAATTTCTCAAGTGGAGAGGATATTTCCAATTTATAAAACCATAAAGTAACTGTCAATAAACTTGAACAATGATGATAACAAAGAAGACCATTACTTATTTGTAAATCCCTTTGAAGGAAAAGGGTTTAAAATTTTGATTCTCCACGGCTGTAAAAAAAAAAACTTACTCAAGATAATGACATTATTCTTGATGTAAATTGGATTAAATTAACATGAAACCTCAATTTGTAGGGGGCGTGGGGAGGTTAGAAAGTTGTCATCCTAGGATGAGTACAAAAGAAATTCAGATATATAGTAAAACATGACACCAAATGTAAATTTTAGAGCAATGGTAGGAATGAAAGTTAATACTTACAAGAAAAGAACTGCTTGTCTAAGGAGGGGACTGTTTTAATTGTGGCCTTCATTTTATTATTAAACCTAGGAAAAAAGAGTGAAGACATTAAAACTCTGGTCATGTTTTACGTGTTAGAAAATTTTCAACAGAGGTTCATAATTACTGTTTTCTGATCTTTACCCAGCATAGAACAATCGCAGATTACAAATACCTGGGAGGAGTATTTAAATATTTTGGTCCAAAGTATTATTAGTTGTTAAATTCACTTTTCTATTACTATTATCTTCCTGGGGTTAAGTCAAATATGTAGCTGTAACTAAAACTCAAACTTTAATGCCTACTTTGAAACACACTAAGCTTTTGGAGGATTAACATAATTGTATACACTTAAGGTAAATTCAAGATCATACCTCAAGACAAACCAATCTCTCAAACACATACACACAATATGCATACTAATGCAAAATCAAAAACTCCATATATTACCCAATTCCAGAAATTCTACTCTAATACTATAAAGTTTAAATTGTAGCTTAAATTGCAGAAAGAAATCTCTGAAAATATGTGATCTATGACAAAACCAAAAAAAAAAAAAAGTTATGAAATTGTCTGAATTAAGAGTAAACAAAAGAACAGGGATTATGAGACACTGCTTCTATGATTGTCCTTTATTCACAGGAGTAGAAAAGATTAAAAGTCAGTATGAAAAGGAAACATTACAGCACATCTTAAAAAAAAAATCCAAGTTACTTAAGTTAAAATGTTTGATTTTTTTGGGGGGGCCATAATTATAAGCTGTATGTAGTCCTCATCCAAGTAACAGCAAAATCCTTACCACAAGACATGGAATAGAAAGAATAAACCTATCCATGCTCTTAATGGAATATTGCATTGCACTGCTAGATCTTCACCAAAATAAGGACATACTTTTTTCCCCCATTTATTTGAAAAAACAAGTATTTCAAATCCCCAGAAAAGGCAAAATAATATAAGAATGAATGAATCTCTATATCCTACCTGTGGCGTCAATCCAGCTATATTGGATTCTAATATTCTATCATGTTTACTGTTTTATTTACTTTTTAAATGTTTTTTGAAGAAAAAAATTGTATATATAACTGAGTCCCTTTTGTACCATATTGATTCCATTTCCCATCCCCTAAAATACAACCGCAACTCTAAATTTGGTACTGATTTCCTCTGCATATTTTTACACTATGACAACAAATTTACTATTACTGCAAATATATCAGTGCTTTCAAACTTTACATAAATGTCATACTATATGTGTGTGTGTGTATTATCATACTGTATTATCTTTTACAACTTGTTTTTGTTTGCTGAAGGACCTCTATCCCTGACACACACAGCTCTCACTATAACGGTGGTATAACAAAGAGTTCATCAAATGATTACATCACAACCTGTCATCTTTTTTTTTTTTTTATTAAAGATGTCTGAGTATTTGTTTCAGGAGTTCTTTTTTATTTTTTTAAAGATTTATTTGTTTATTTATTTATACAAGCACTGGGTACAGTCAGAAGCGTGGAGGGTGAGAGAATCCACCAGAGCCAGAGCGGGGAGCAGAGCAGGCAGAAGGACCGAAGCACACTGCGGGAGCAGCCGGGGATAGAACTGGTGCTGCAGAGGCTGCGGGCAGCTTCACAACCCAGCGCTCAACCGCTACGCCACCGGGGAGGCCCACAACCTGTCATCTTTCTATTCAAACATGTCTAGGTTTATCTAGAATATCTCAAAACATATTGTTGAGTTTAAGCCTATGTATACTTTCAACTTTGCTAGGTTATTGCCAAATGCTTCCAGAATATGAAAAGTTCCCCTTTCTGTATTTTCTCTAACATTTGGAAAATACATTTAAGAAAAATAGCCACTTGCTAGTTGAAAACTTAAAAAATTCTTAAGTGATTAGTTCCTTCTGTTTTCATGACATATAGGTCTATCACAGGTATACTAAATATTCCAAACAGACGAAAATTTGGCCCAAGGTACTTGTGCAGAAAAAAAGCTCTAATTACGTATTTTCTTCACCTGATTATGAAAATACCAACACATAATCCAGAACTAGTGAGGTACAAAAATGATTCATAATTAGTTACTGAGCTTAGATCCATGAGGACCAAAAAGAACCAAAAACCCAGAAAATATAAGTGGCTTATTGGTGTGAAGAATTCGCTCCCATTTCATTTTGGGCTGTGTTTTTCATATGTGGTGCCTCTAAAAAAAAAAATTCAACTTGTGAAAAACACAAATTCCTAAGCCCAAGCTCCAGAGATTTTGATTTAGAAGGCCTGGAAAAATGCTTTATTGTAGATTGTTCTGCAATAGGTGGCCCACGGACACTTTATACAATAATCCATAGTAAAAATAAGGTGTCTGCAATATAAAAGATTATGTAGCTCACTTTTTGGTTAAGAATAGGTAACAGCAATTAATGTTATATATAAATTACATCAATTGTTAAGGAATGCACTCTCTTACTAGCCAAAAAAAGTCTATCTTAAATCTCAATATGGTTGAATTTGACTTTATAATGCTAGACCAAGTTGTGGGTTCATTTATTATTTCAGATAACTGAACATACACTAACAAAGATTTTTAAAAATATTATGAGTAAGTAAACATTATGAGTAAGTAAATATTATGAGTAAGGAACTAATATTCTAAGATTACTGTGAGTAAAAGTGATTAGGATTGATCTGAATGAAGATGACCAGTGAGAAACTATGGGCACATTTTGAAAAGAATATTATCGCAAATATCAGACTTTAAATTGGGACATTATGCTTCTACACTAATATAAATTGTCATTCGCAGATTTCTAGTAAGAATTCTACATTAGAGGGCCTCCCCAGTGGCCCAGTGGTTGAGTGCTGGGCTGTGAAGCTGCCCGCAGCCTCTGCAGCACCGGTTCGATCCCCAGCCACCAGGTAAGGGTCCCACATGGCGCGCAGACCTCTCCTGCCATGCCCACTGCTACCCTCAGCAGTGTATTTCGTCAGTCCACCTGCTCTGCTCCCCGCTCTGGTGAATTCTCTCACCCTTCCACGCTTCTGACCCATTGCTTGTATAAATAAATAAATAAATCTTAAAAAAAAAAAAAAAAAAAAAAAAAGAATGCTACATTAGAACTAAGAGAAATCTACCATCTACTTTCCTGTAACTATAGACTACTAGAATTAGATACAAAAGAGGTTAAAAAAAATTAGCTAATCCAAGTGTATTCAAATTAAAACAGCAAAAATATTCTTTTATATTTTTGAAATTACAAAATCCTAGTTCCAAAAGACTTAGTATAAACTGAACTTTTCAGATATAAAGTTCAGATTTGATATTATTTTACTAGTGAGATAAAAATAAAGACTTACTAATTTCCACCTGGAGTCTGCTTTGTTTTTATTTATACATAGAGGGGTATACTGTTCTTTTTAGTAATAACGAAGTCAGTAAGAATTTGGTCTCATTTAGACTGGGCTGTAAATTGAATGTCAGAATATGGTTCAAAAAAAATCAAAGAAACACTGATGGCCATAGTCAACTTTCCTTTCCTCAATGTACTATCTAATTTGTGTTATCAATGACTATTTTTTCCCCATTCTACTAGCTTAAAAGTGAAAAACATGCCACACATACTTCCAGAAGCATTTCCATTCAAAATGAGTAAAAAATTAAATTAAAACCACAAAGTAAAGTAAAAAATATAGTATCTAAGAACTATAAGCATTTACTGTTCTATGTTGCTTTGGGAAGAAAAGATCTTTTGTCATAGCCTGGATGTATTATATTGTAGAGGTTACAGTGACAGTTGGGCCCTTCCAACCTGATTTATAAAAGCTGATCAGTACAGGCTATTTTGGCAACCATTATTGCATGAAGATGCTAGTCTGCACAACAGCTGACAAGCAGCAGCAACCTCCCGGCCCCTGGTTCCAGCTGTAAGGGATAAGAAAAAGGGCTGTGGTGATACTTGTTTATTCACTGTTGCTACTGCTTGCTGAAGCAGCAAGCTGAGAAAAGCATATAGGATTAACACAGAGGGAAAAAACCATTCAGTCCAACCTATCTAGCAGGTCTGCTTATATTACTCCATAATAAAATTAAGAAGGAATTTTCTTAAAAAAGTAAAATGGGGAGAGGGGAAAACATAATTGTGCTCAGTTATCAAAATTTTCAGAATTCAGCCTCTTTCCCCAGCAATTCTGGAAAATAAAGCATCTAAATTGTAATCAAGAATAAAATCATATTTTGCTTATAAAAAGTTCCAGGCTGCCAGGTTCCACATATCTAATCATCACCATATGTTTGACATCAGACACTTATTAGCAAAGAAATAAGATTTCAGCCCATAAAATTTCTACAAAAATTCCAACTATAAAAAAAAAATTTTTCCACATGTAACTTACCTACTTTAAACATGTAATATAAAGCTAAAAACTTAGTAGGTACCTAGTATCAATTAATGAATAACAAAAATAGAAATACTTGTTCTTTTAAATTATTTATAGACATAATTTTAAATTTAAATGCAATTCTTATCTTTAAGCACCTTCAGTAATTTTTGATTCTGAAAACTATAAAAGTCAGAAAAATTTAGACAAATTATGTTTTTAAGTATTAGAACTGGGTGATAAGTTTAAACGGTATTTTATCTAGTCTAGTCATGAAGACCAACTTTAAGATTTATTGGAAGTATAAAATATAGCAGTATTTAAAATTCAGATAATATTTTATAAAAAATGAAAACCCCAATCTTTTACTTTAGCAAAATTGAAAAATTAATTGTTGTTGTTAGAGGCAGCTCAGTGAAAAATAATGCTGATAATAAAATATAAACTATCGTGTACCACAGGGTAACAAAATAACTAAATATATTCAGTACAAAAACTATGTAAGACCTTAATGGCAAATACCAAAGAAGGATTTTAAAATTTTAAGACACTGAAAAACAGTAATAAATTGATAAACTATTAACCAGCAGATTAATATGTCTCAGCAACTACATCTGAAACAAGTCACATGTATTTCTTCTAAGGGACTCTAACCATGAAAATAGCAAAGTAAAACTAAGTCATATCATATATGTTAATAAAATAACAAAAGTGTGGCTTGTGGTTCTGAGAAGAAATATTCTACTTCAAAATGACATTTAATAAAAAATCTAAAGCATCACATTATCTTTTGAAAATGTTTATCAGAAAATATAACTCTGATGCACTAGTTAAGAAAACACACAAAACATACAGATACAAGTTTCAAATAAAGAGCAACAAAAAATTTTTTAAGGTAGTATCAATTCTTTGATGAATCCTCAGCAACACCATAAAATCTTCATCAGAGTTGTTATAACTGACAAACTACTTAAGATGTCCTTAATAAACAAGTATTACATATCAATAATTTTATGTCTTTCATATGTAGATATGTTAAATTACTTCTAGTTTGTCCAAATATTCCACCCCCACCCCCCAAGGATAACTATTTTCAATTAAACAGGAACTCTGTCAGTATAACTGTATTTTAGGAACAACTGAGAATTTTGCTGAAAACAAATGTTAGCTAACCCTGAAAATGCACTTAACCAAAAAATGTAAATACTGCATAAAAAAGATATAAATCTATCGCTGAACATAAGGTTAACACAATATATTGTCTCCCCCATATTCTGACTCAAGTAATATAAAAGCTTAGTTAGATACAATCAGGTTTTCAAATTTAGAGCAGCCAAAATCTTTACAAAGTGTTTTTTAACAGGTAAAGAATCACACATAGCAATAAATCTCCTATTAACCTGTCTCCTAAAGTTAAAGTTTCTCACCCTTTAAGAACTAATTAAATACAAGGAAACTTTAATATATGCATTAAAATTCCTTTAGATGTTAAATTATTTACTAAGCCAAAAAATCCTGAAATTTATAAACCAGAATAAAGACCTATAAGTACAATTTTATTTTCCCAAATATTGGTGCTCAGCCAGTTTTGACAACTTCAAAGATCATCAATTCTTTAAACTAGGTAACAACTTTGTAGATTCATGTCCTTTTCTACAATGTTTATTCAATAGCCATCTCTCTTCCTCCATATCATTCATTTAGACTGTGTCTACAGGTATCTGGATTGAAAGTGATAAATTGAACCCGGATTTTCCCCCAGACACTCAGAAACTGTATTTTTCACTTTTCAATTTAATGATTTCTAATCTGGGAAGCGCTGGTTAAGCAGGGAAAAATTTCTATTTATTTTCATCCTATTCAAACTAAGTTGCCTTTCCATAACATCCTCAAAGTTGTGAAGACATTCTATGCTTTGTACTTACCTCAAACTTCCTTACATGATGATGCTAATATTTTAACTTCACCTTGATATCTATTAAATTTTTAACATTTTTATCTAAGCTTAATTGTTAAGGCTTATATATTCCCATCTGTGTAATAGCTAATGATATAGAAAAACCTAATTTTAATTTATTATTTTGATATGTACCTCAATGTTCAAAAACTCTCCAACACAATATCTAAGAATAGGCTTTAAAATCTTTTTTAATATTGTTTAAAGATAAAAGCAATAGGAAGGAAATAATAAAAAAGGAAAAAATAAAAAATGTTTATTAAATATCTGAAGTTTTCAATTAGAAGTATAAAAATCAAAGTGAACAAATATGCTAGAAAAGTGGCTCAATGATAAAATATTTTGGAGGTAAAGACAGTAAGTCACCAGAAGTTTTGCCATGCTACAATTTATTTTTAGAGTCTGAAACTTTTGATATGAACTACTTAACTATTTTACTCAGATACATATGAGTAAGACACTAGCTTCTGCTTTAAGAAAATGGATTTTTCATTTTCAACTAAATTGACACTTTTGATTAGGACAGAACTTGGAATATTTGATTTCTATTACTAAACTTTTATTGACTTTTGCTCACCTAAAAGTTCCAGGTTTACCAATTGTCTAGTCCAGTAACATTTGTAAAATATAAAATTGTATGCTTTAAAAATTCATTAATATACCTTAATCTCCTATCATGTTCCAATGCATTATGTGAGTGTTCAATCAAAGAAGTTAGACTGTTCTCCAGAATTGGCTCTCTCCTAAAGGTCAAAACCTGCAATAAAAATGTCATGTATTATAGCATGAAGACACTCAACAGATTTCCGCCTCCTGCAGTTCCACAGTTGATCCCTGAATACAGAGGTAAGGTCTTTCAAAATGACCCCAATCTTGCCTATGTTCAAAGAAACCCTAACTTCAAAATGTTTTTAAAATAGAAATAACTTGATTAGAAACACCTGTGATATGCTTTATCATCCGAAGCCTCTTCAAACAAATCAGCTTAATATGTTTCTGCTTTCATTTCTCTTTAGAGCATTCATTTTCAAAGCTCTATAGATGAGTGAGTGAGTAAGTGAGAGAAAGAGAGAGAGAGAGAGAGAGAGAGAGAGAGAGAGAGAGAGAGAGAGAAAGTAAGTGTGTGTTCGCATTTGTGTGTAGGAAGGTGTTAAAGGACTGGTAAAAAGAGGACTCCATAAGAAAAATTACCAGAAATATACTTTGTGCTTCTAAAACTCAAAAGTACAATAAAAAAATCATTCAAGGGATAGAAACATATTTTAAATTAACTTCCTTCCAAATTATCAAATGTTTTAGTAATAACAGAAATTACCATTACTTTCCATTTAATATTTTTGCCATGCCTGAATGAATACTGATTGATATTTCCAAATGTAGGCCAATATAGTTCTACTAACAGAACAAAATGTAGAATTCATTTTTAAACAAATTAAAATATTTATAAGTAATGGATGACTATTAGTCAACAATTTTTAAATGTTTCTAAGTAGAGGTGGTGTAACCAAGTATATATGTGGTCTTTTCATTTGTCTCACCTAAATCTTAATGATTGAGTGGTAATACAAATGTTAATTATCAAATTGCCAAAGGCTTATAGTGTACCATAGTGAACAATAATGCTGAAGTTTCCACTTCAAGAACAGCTTAGAAAAAGAAATGAAAACCAAAAGAACCTTTATTTCTCTGTGGCCAAATGCTTAATTCCAAATGCGATGATACTTAAAAATACATATAAATCATTTCTAAAATTCTCCCTCAAAGGATCTAAAAGGTAATGTACTTAACTTTAAAAATTACATAAGAAAAATAGAAGCCAGTATGTATTCCATGCTAAATGTTAAGTTTGTCAGTAGTAGAGAAATAAAAAATACTACATGATAAAGAACAAAAGAGTCAGATATCACACAAATAGTAAATAAAATGTGCATTAACGAAATGATGGGAAAAATTTTTGAAAATAGTGAAACTCAAACCTATTACAAAACAGCTTATTATTTACACTTAGAACCCAGGACAAGCCTTTCAAGTTCAAACATTCTTAAAGAAAGTAAGACAGGTTTTTTAAAAAGTGTTAAGCTTCTCATAATTTGATAAGAAATATTAAGAATAAAATTCAAATATATATGTTCAATATCATCTCCAACACTTGAAATGTGTGTTTCTAAAAGAAAGATCCTTTAAAACATCTCTCAGATAGAAAAGGGGGAAAAAGGCAAAAGAAAATGATTTCCCTACCAGAAAACTACGAACTCTACAGTCATTTATACGTAATTGACAAACATAGAAGCATATATTAGTATCATGATATTCTAAAATTGATGTTACTCTTATATTTAGACAGACATGACTTTAAAGTTCTAATACTGACACTTGTAAAAATTAAATGCAAAATCAACTTAATCTCATTTTCGTCAATTGAAAAAAAAAAAAAGCAGTTCATTACTGATTTCCTTTGGTTTTAGGAGATTTGGGGGTAACCAAATTTCAGCAAGTCATAGTTTAAGTTCTAACTATATGCCAAAATTAAATGGCACACAGTGTTTCTATGTTTGGTAAATAATTTTAAAAGGGAACAAAACTATATGTATAATAATACTCTTCTATGACAATTCTATGATGTGCTTTCTAGTTATAATCAGACTAATCTGTTTTTTCTAAAGTAAGGTTAAAGCAAAACGTGTGGATTACTAAGCCTCATTAAACAAAAGAAAAAAAAGTCAAATTTTAGGTCACAATTTTTTAAAATAAGAGACTAATTTTTTTATAGAGTAAGATTTCAAAACTGTAAATTTTTAATCTAATTGAATTTTTAAATTAGAGAAAGTATCAGGTAGAAGAAACATCTAATAAAACTTTTTTTGGCAAACCAAATCAACTGACTCATTTCTGGATTGGAGTAATTTGTGACATTCTGAACAATTACTACATACCAATAAGTGAATAAACAAAATAAAAATATGCATGTTTCCACAAAAACAAATAAAAATGTTGCATAAAGCACAATGACACAAAAGATCCAGAATATGAAAACTGTTTTTGAAATTTTCATCCTTAGCTCTAGTTCTTTATAAACATTGATCAGAAAAAAATACAGTGTTACAGGCAAAGACCCTAGGCTACATTTTCTAAACGCAGGACAAGTTCACAGTATTAAAACAAAGCTTAAGATTGTGTTTTTCTTTGGATTTTAAGAAATAGTATAAAGGCCAAACAAAAAGCAATGCTAGCAGGAAGACAGATACCTTACCTTCTCAGGTTCCCTGTTCCCCACAATATGTAAACACAGCTTAAAAAGGAGTTGAGCTACTGTACCTTTCCCCATCATTGTTTTCCTGTGGTACTATATCTTTTCTATTTCTTACAATAGAAAAAAAGTAAATAAGAACTATCAGTTTTTACAGATATACGCATAATAGTGAAAGTATTATATATAATACACATCGTTATCTACAAGTCCACAAATCTAAAGCCCAAATCTTCCTGTTAATCTGGCATTCCAGAAAAAGAAAGTATTTGGATGCTGTGGATTTTATTTAGGTGCTAGTGTGTTCTCAAACTTTAAGGGCACTATTTTAAATAAAGAATCCACTCTAATAATGGCTTATTAAAACAAAATGATGCACCTATCACCTTCAAACAACTTCCCCCTCCCCAATAAACCAAAGCACTAAAAAAGTATGGGTAAGCTTAACTAGCTTGGTGGAATTTAATTTATCCCATCTCACTCTTAAATTCTCCAAGTCACATAATACAAAAATTAAAACTTAAAAAGCAAGAGTATAAAAATAAAATCCACTAGTTTTGATATATTGAGTAAAATTTTTACTTATATTTACTTGCAATTTCATTAAATCAAATTTTAGAGATGACAACTGACACCTTTAAGAATTTTCATGATACTGAAAATAATTGCTTTGAAAAAAAGTAATCGAAATTCTTGTTATGAAAGCACTACAAATAGTATGATTTATAAACTCGACTATTTCATTTATTAATATAAATTATATTTATAGTCCTACAGAGATTTTTAAGTGATAGAATCCTCTTATTTGAATATTTTCTAACAATGCATATTTGACCTAATGTAAAACTACAAACTGCAAGTTTCAAAATTTCAACTCTACTCATAAAGATATAAATTCCGATTAAACTTAAAAAATATTTTAAAAAGCATCTACAGTCCTGTTGTTTACAAAGGGAGTTTAACCCATTTTCTTGGAAAACCACACCCATCTTTATCAAGATGCAATTAAACGGAATGGCAAATTTGGTAATAAATAGAACTTATACTGAGACTGTCTCAAGAAATAAAACTCAACTAAACTAACCAAGTAAAACACAATACTCATCCTGTTGTATGCACTGGATTTCATAATAAATTTATCAAAGGAATGAAATCATAGATACGCACCTGTGTGTACTTACCTGTTGTATTTCTAAATTAACAAATTTCTTGCAAAGTTTTAAGTCCACTGTATTGACTGAATTAGTAAAATCTATTGATTTTTAAATTGATTGTGAAAAATATTAAAAATATATCCAATATTTATAAAAATGCTGAAAAGCTCGTTAAAAAATTGTTTTTCGTTAAAATAAAAGAAATAATTCTGTAATCTGCATACAACAAATACAAATAGTTTGTAATGAAAAACTTGTGTCAAAAGAAAAAACCCTAAACCCTACACTGTTTTTAACTAATAGGGAATAGGGTAAATATATACAGTTCGTAATTTCAGTGAACAAAATTATAATTTTGAGAAAATTGCTCCCTCGGTCTTACTTTTACTATACATTTCAGAGCCACTCGAAAGTCCTTTAGGGAAGAAAAAAGCTATTAAAAGGCAGTTTAAAAAATTCCCAGCCTTAAAGTTTCTTAAATATTTCTGTGGTTCTCTAGAAGTCTAATTTTTCGGAAAAAGGAGAATTATAATCTAGTGTTCACCATTCAAACCCCCCAGTCCCGCTTCCCCTCAGCCAATCAGGGGATAACAAGACCGGTGTCTTGGGAGTTCCGTTAGACACAATTTGAAAAATATCACATTGCGCTCTCCTATTCTCTTCTGGGGGGGGGGGGAATTCTAAGTGAGGGCGGGTCCTCCAGTCGTTACAGAAATAACAAATCAATCATTCCTTTCATCAATTCCGGGGTGCGGGGGGTGTATTATTTAGGCCCTAAAGAGTGTATGAGTGCGACTCCAGGAAACGTTATTCCTGTTTTCGAACAACTGAATAAGCTGCTGCAAAAACCAACTCCTGTATATTCGCAACCTAGAGCCGCGCGCCCCAGACGCAAAACATCTCACCAGCAAAGGGTTAATCTTAATCTACTTGTGCCTTCAACTCAGAAAGTGATTCAAGATCCAATATATTTTAAGTGAAAATACAGTACCTACAAAGTATTAAAGTTAAAACCCTCACTGGTTCAAATCATTTAAGTTGTCCAGTAAGAACAAGAAACTGTGAGCTAAAAAAAAAAAAAAAAAAAAAAAAAAAAATCACCAGACGAGAACACCCCTCTTGCATCCGCTTCAGCGCCGAGAGAATGCCCCAGAAAAAGCGAGGATTGCAAATTTACCGTTAAGCTGTCCGTTAAGTTTTCGGGAGGACAATTTAGTTTCACAGACTGGCTTTTTCCGTGCGACCCGTTTCAAAGACGGGGAAGGAAAGTCTTCTAAGAGCGCGACTCGGAGGAAACAGCGAGCAGGAAATCGCCCCATCTTTCATCTTCCCCCAGAATAGCCCCACCGCCCACCAGGGCCAGCACCGTGAGAGTAAAGGACCAAAATCCCAAGGAAAAAGCGAAAGTCCAAGCACCTTTCCTAGGAGCCCGCGAAAACCTCACGAGCCTGCCCCCGCCCCACTCGCCCGAAGAGGCGAAGCCCGACGCGGCCGGCGCGCCTCCAGCCCGGCCCCGGGCGCGCAGAGCCCGCGGGCGTCGCGGCGTGACCCACATTCCGAGCGCACCTCGCGCCCCGGCGTCCCAGACCACGACCCTGAGCCCGGGCCGGCCGAGGGCACTGTCCGCCCGCCCGGCCCGAGGCAGCCGCTGCTCCGGGTCCGCGGTTTTCCGTCGACCGTAAGTTTCTCGTCGTGAGCAGACAGCCGTCCGCGCGCTCAGAAAGCTGCGATAAAGCACCGCGGGCTCGGTGATGGGGGAGGGGGCAGGCGTCCCCCTCTTCCTGTCACGGAGTCGCGGCCGGAGGAGCCCCGCGGCGCCCCGGCCCCGGCCAGGGGTCCGGCTGACAGACCCGCAGGGCGGCGGCCGCTCCGCCGCGGCTCGTCCGCGTCCCGCTCAAACTGCAACTCCCCTCCCCCCACGCCCCCGTCTCCGCGCGCTCCCGCCACATTCCGCCCGCCCCCGCCCACTCGCAGACACCCAATTACCCCAACCCTATCTCCTCGAATTTTTCGCTCTTAAAATGACCCAGAGCCCATTCTTCTCCGCACCCCCACACCGCCCGCCGGTCCCACCAGTGCCACCGCCGAGCGCCACTCTGCTACTTCTTCACGCGCTTACCGACTGCTCCAACCCTGGCGAAGGTCCACGTACTCGCTTGCCTCAAAGTAATTTTCGGAGTTTTTTTTAGTTATTTTTCGGCTGAGTCCTAGTGGCGCTATACTCTCGGACAGGTTATCCAGTCTCTCCCGCTAGATTGATGAGATGAGGCATCACTCGAAAATGGCGCCGAAAGCGCTGAGGCTCCTCATTCAAATTCGTTAGAGCCAACCCCGCCGCCCCGGGGCATGCCGGGAACGCGGGCTGCTTTCACAGCTGTCAATACCGCTTCCAGCCCCCCCGTCAGAGCTGTCCCGACGCTTTTGCGCATGCGCAAATTCGAACCCTTCCCCCGCGTCGTGCACATGCGCAGAGTCATGGTCGTGCGCCACTCTCCCTTTACTTCCTCGGTCGCAGTCCGCCTACCTCTTTTCTCGCGCCTGCGTGCAGCTCCCGCTTCCTCGGCCTCGGGGGTGGTGGAACCGTGGGGATAATGGGTCCATAGATGATGTATCAGTCGATGGGCACTTATTTTACTGTTCGAGGAAAACAAATGAGGGTCTAGCTTAGGTGAGATGGAAAACGTTTCATTGCCAGTGTCTAAACCCCAGCCACGGAATGTGTCTCCGAGACCTTTTATATGGATACTCGTGTACTTAACCCAGCCCCGCCTGTGCGTAGAGCTCTTGCAGGGTCTACTCGGTACTGGAGCTATCTTACTTAAGCCTGAAAAGAACTTTATGAGGTAGGTACTATTATTAACGGCTTGCAGAACAAGGTTTGCTTGAGGCAGCACAAGTAGCAAGTGAATCTCTCCGATTCAGGAGCACAGGCCATTCTCTTCCCTACTGTGCCATCCAGCCTGAGTATACCCAGGAAGGGTGGTTTCCCCTGCTCCACTGTGTGTGTGTGTGTGTGTGTGTGTGTATGTGTGCAGGCGCGGCGCGCGTTTCAGTAGTTAACGAGTTAACGATAACTTAAATTTGCTGGAATTTTTCTTCCCAGCCCTAGGCTTAAACATTCTGCTCAATCTGGAGAGCTGACTGGGCAGTCTTTGAATATCAGTTAGGGCGATTAAAAACTCTATTTAATGGTGTAACAAGTGAACTGAATCTAGTAAAGACGAGTTTCCGTTGTGGAACGCGCTGATAAGATACAAATAGCTAGGTACCACGTATTGCTGTTGGGTTCAATACTGAATAAACACCTCGTTGATTGATGGTGTTTATTGCTCACAACAGCCCTGTGAAGTAGGTATCCTCATTTTACGCATGTCGCCCAGATTAAGAAACTTGTCCCAAAGCCCTCTAGCTGATAAGGAGATGCACAACTGTGGCCAACTTCAAAAACTGGGCGTTATGATAGGTCAATAAATAATGATAAAGTTGTCGATATTTTAACACCTGTCTTAAAATAAACCTCTTTTGACCATTCATTTGCTCTGGAGAATTATCTGCCCCCAGGCTAGTTAGGATGAAAAACTCAAAAATTGTTACAGATCCTCCTAAGTGATTACTTTTTAATACTATTTTGACTGGCTACATGATCCCCAGTTATTTTTTTTTTCTGGGTTATTGCCACATTTTTTCCAGTTTTTGTTGCACAGCAATTTGTTATGGACCATAACAACATACACACACACACACACATCATTGTGAAGATTAAATAAGACAATGGATGTGGAAGTGTCTACTAAGAAGTAAAGAAGTAGAAAACTAGCATGGTTTCCATTATTGAAGTACAATAGAAAAGAAATGGATTTTAATAATTTGAGATGATAGAGAAGTAATGGGCAGTGTAGTTTGTCTAACATCTCTATGGTACTTTTTGTACAATAGTAAAATTTAGTGTACCCTGGAACCAAACTGCCTGGGTTTGGATCTCAGCTAAGTACTAGCTGAGTTACTTTTTCTCAGTTTGATCTTTTGTAAAAGGAGTTATGCTAATCCCTCACTGCGTCGTTGTAAGGATATAGGTGAGCTCTAATATATCCCAGGCATTTGAACAGAATAATAGCATATTAGTAATTATTAGCTACTGTGAATCAGTTGTTAACCCTGATCTTTTTAAGTGGCTTCTTTAACAAATACTGAATTACTTCACTCATGTGGAATATAAACAAAACAAAGGGACAGACAAAACTAAATAAAAACAAACTAGAAAGCTGAGACTACCAGAGACTAAAATTGAGACTGCCAGAGGGGGCAGAGAGGGTTGGGGAGCAAAGGGTAGAGGAGGCCCAAAGGACTCTGATGGTTGATTATAGTGCGTTGGTGGTGGCCTGGTGTGGTAACACATCTGCAAAAGTGTGAACCTGAAACCTCTTAGTCATATACCTTATTGTAAACCAGTGTTTCATCAATTAAAAAAATGGAATAAAAAAATAAAATGGCTTCTTTAAAGGTGTTTTAAAAGTTAAATTACAGTTAATGCCATTAAGAGTTAACATTTGTAAAAAAAAAAAAAAAGAGTTAACATTTGTTTGAAGATCCCTGAAAATGATAAAGTTGCCAGAGAAATTGTACTTGCTAAGTATTAGTAGTGATTTCTGTCAGATGAAAAAGGATGTTCACTTGTGTCACCATTTCTTAAGAGTGACAGGACAACAGAATAGTTTTTATTGCTTTTCTAATTATTAAAGGGAGAAAAACAGACCAGTCTAAAGTATGTAAAGCCATCCAGAGATAACCACATATTCTTAGCACTTTAAAAATATAATGTACCTTTGAGGAGAATAGTCTAGAGAAAATCTACATAGTGATATATTGGGGAACCTGTTGGCAGGATTGTACTAGAAATTCATAAATTGGTAAATCTTAAAAAATTCTATCCACCTTTTAGATAGTCTCTCAAGAAAATTCTAAAGTGATGATGATGTTATTGATAAGTAATGGCATTTGTTGAGTACCTCTTGTGTCAGGCATTATACTAAGAAAGTGTATACATTTACCCCCTGAACCCTTATGACTCATGAGATGTGTGCAGTTCTCTCCAATTTGCAGACTACAGCTTATATGGAGGTCACTTTTAGAAGATGTAATTGTTTTGTTTAAAATCTTATTTGATAAACCAGAACCCATTCATTAAGCTTCTTGACTAAAACGGGAGGAAACAAAAGCAAGTAACATTTCCTGTGCCCCAACAAAAAAAGCCCATTTGGTAAAAATGTTTTGAAAATAAAGAATTTTATGTTTGACCACAAGGGGGTGCAAATTCCTGAGTTGAATTTAAAGAAAAAAATAGCATTTTTACTTTAGATCATCCAATTAACAGGTAAAAAACTAGTGCAAATACCTTCCATTGACTTTATTTTTTTAAAAAGATTATTTATTTTTATACAAGAGCTGGGGCACAGGCTAGAGGCACAGGAGGGTGAGAGGATTCACCAGAGACAGAGTGGGGAGCAGAACAGGAAGACAACCGAAATACACTGCTGGGGGGAGCAGTGGGTGCGATAGGAGAGGTCTGTCACACCCTGTGGGAATATCCCTGGCTGGCTGGGAATCTAACCCGCGCTGCAAGTCTGAGAACAGCTTCACAGCGCTGTGCTCAACCCGCTACACCACCGGGGAGGCCCTCCTTCCATTAACTTTAATGTTCTCCAAAGTGATGTATTTTATGAGAATAAAGTACTCAATTAGGGCAGGTTTTCATCTTCAATGAAATGAATTAATCCTGCCCTTCTCTCCACCCACTTAGATTGTGTCTTGTATACCTCTCTTTACTTGTCATAAGAGTAGAACTGAAGTCATTTAAAATCTGAGGTTTTACTTGAAAACTAGAATGCCATCACCAGCAAATGAATGGTAAATATGGGTAATGTGGAGAATAGAGGTCTCATAATTTCCATGCTTTTTTCCCCTAATGAGTAAGCTACAACTGACAAAATGTTGGCTTCAACATAATTTATTTAGAAAAAACTGTGACAGGTAAAGGTCTTTCAATCTTTTAAGAAAAAACACTTTTACTATGGAAATAACTTCAAATTCACAAAAAGTTCCAAAAATAAATGTAGGTTAAGGAACACCATTTTATTTGCGTGTTCTTATATAGTCTCTCTCTTTCCACATTCATATATTCAAAGCATATTTTCCCCTAACTCACTTGAGGTTAAGTTACATATACCCTTCACCCCTAAATACTTTGAGAGTGTGTTTCCTACTTACTATAATTTTCATTGACATATTTTAATCTATATTCCAATTTTGTAGGTTGATCCTTGAAGCATTTTTCTCCTTGTCTGTGATCAGGTACTACATTTGATTGTCATGACTCTTTAGCTTCCTTAACTTTGGAACATTTCCACAGCCTTTCTTTCCTTTATGACCTTGAGATTTGAAGTATACAGCCCAGCATCTCTCTCTCTCTCTCATCCCTTTTTAGCAGAACTTCCCTCATTTTGTTTTTGTTTCCTCATGGTTAGACTGAGGTTATGTATGCTCTACTGCTCAGGTGATACTATGTCCTTCTGAGGGTATCAGTTCTGGAAGCACATGATCTCCATCTGTCCCTTGTTGATGATAAGTTAGATCACCTGGTCCATATACAGCCTGCATTTTCCACTGTCTTTTTTTATTTCCTAGCAATTAATAAGTAATTTGTGAGGAGATATTTGAAGACACATGCTGTTCTTTACAGAATTTCCTCTTAACTTTAATAAAGACAGTTATCACTGATGTAATTTTAACATGGTGTTTGCAAAATGATTTAGCATATCTAGCTCTCCCTCCACATTAACCAGTTAGCCCACTGCATCTAGTGCAAACAAGGATGCTTCTCCCATATTTACTATATGCATTAACGTAAGAATTGCTGTTCTCCTGTTTCTCTATTTGTTTTCACACATGCTTTCTATATAGGTGTACATTTTGTACAGTTTTTTTTCCTAAACCAAAGGTAGGTTATATATATCATGACCTTTTAATTATTTTGGTTATTTATTCAAATCATCCTAGATTTAGGTAGTAGGAATACCTAAGTCTGACTTTTGTGTTTTGAGCACTTCTTTATTTTCTGGGAATTAATCCTTTTCTCTAAGGAGCCCTGGGTTCTGTTCATGGAGAATGGTATTAGAGACCAAGGCTAGATGTATTAGTTTCTCTGCTTCTTAGAACTTTCATGAGACAGAACTAGGAAATATATACGTATGCATACATACAAATATACATACTGCTTATATATACACATAGTGATATGGATTTAATTTTAAATAATTTTCATTATAATTAAAAAGATGTCATTGTAACAAAGTTCTGAATAAAGGCAATGAAA